TTCAAGGTATCTTGGAGAGGTGAGGTGTCCAAGTCGCAACATCTAACTACTGGGGTGCCTCAGGGCTCAGTTCTTGGACCACTTTTCTTCTCTGTCTACATGGCATCACTAGGTTCTGTCATTCAGAAACATGGCTTTTCATATCACTGCTATGCTAATGACACTCAACTCTACTTCTCATTCCATCCTGATGATCAAACGATAGCTGCTCGGATCTCAGCATGTCCAGCAGATATTTCTTGTTGGAAGAAGGACCATCACCTTCAGCTCAACCTTGCCAAGACAGAACTGCTTGTAGTTCCATCAAACCCATCGTTTCATCACAATTTCAACATCCAGTTAGGTACATCAACCATAACTCTTTCAAAAAAAGCCAGAAACTTTGGAGTTATGATTGATGATCAGCTGACTTTCTCAGACCACATTGCTAAAACTGCCTGGTCCTGCAGATTTGCTTTATTCAACATCAAGCAGATCAGGTCCTTTCTTTCGGAACATGCTTCACAAAACCTTGTTAAAGCTCTTGTTCTGTCCAGGCTGGACTATTGCAATGCTCTCTTGGCAGGTCTTCCAGCCAGTTCTATCAAACCTTTACAATTAATCCAGAACGCAGCAGCAAGATTAATCTTTAATGAGCCGAAAAGAACGCACGTCACACCTCTGTTTATCAATTTGCACTGGCTACCAATTGCTGCTTACATAAAATTCAAGGCATTCATATTTGCCTACAAAACCACACTGGCTCTGCACCCCTTTACCTAAATTAATTATTTCAGACTTATGTGCCCTCTAGAAGCTTGCGTTTTGCAAGTGAACGTCGATTTATTGTGCCATCCCAAAGAGGCACGAAATCACTTTCACGGACTTTTACGTTAAATGTTCCCTCCTGGTGGAATGACCTGCCCAAATCAATAGGAGCATCTTCAAGAATCGGCTAAAAACACATCTCTTACATCTTTATTTGACCCTCTAACTCTAGCACTCTCTACTCTCTAAATTCTATTCTTTATTTAAAAAAAACCCCTGCCCCTTTTAGACTTGCACTCTATTAATTTACTAACTGCTTGTTTTCTTAAAAAAAACAAAAAAACAACTAACACTAGCTTCTGTATACTTTTTGTATTCTATTTGTTTTCTTTTTTATTTATTATACAATTAACAAAAACAAAAAAGGCCTCTAACACTAGCTTGCTCTATTTCTTTTTATTTTATCTGTTTTCTTTTTATTTATTATATAATGTAAAAAAAACCTTGCTACGTGTACTGCGTTAAGCTATCTGAGACTTGTTTCTAAACAGGGTGAATTAGCGCAAGAGCGCAATTCCAAAACAGCGCAAATGGGCATGGAAATTTCTGCGGGTGATTTACTAACAATGCACAAATTAAAGAACACAGAATTCAATAAGGTCAGGCACAAAAATAACTGTGCCCACACCTTTTCAGCGCTAATTCGTCACTGTGCGTCTTTAGTAAATCCTGACAGTACTATTTTAATGCTAAAAGACGTTTGCGTTAGCGAAAGCTGTTAGTAAAACTGGCCCTTAGTTTCTTTAGTGTTTCTTTAGTTTTAGTTATTTTAGTACTTAAAGTTAAACTAAATGAAAACGCTTTGGCAACTAGCTGAAATAAAACAATATTTTATTATTATTTAAGTTAACTTCTGTCAGGACCACTATCGTCAAAATGATAGATACTTAGCATAAAGTTTGGGTTGGTTTGGTTTGGTTTCTGTTCTGGGCAAAAAACCTCCCTGCCCATCGATGCAGCCTGTCATGAATAGAAGTGGTTGTAATACCAAGTTCTTAGACATTGTTCAAATAAGTACAAGCTAGAAAGAGAAGGAATAAATAAAGAGAGATACTTTTTTTTTATTTTTTTTTGATGAAGTCAAGTAGCTTCGAAAGAGATGAGTTTTCAGCTGTCGCTTGAAAATTGTCAGGGATTCAGCATTCCGGATAGGGGTGGGAAGATCGTTCCACCAGCCAGGAGTGGTGAATGAGAATGTTCTGGAAAGTGATTTTGTGCCTCTCTGTGATGGTACCACGAGGCGTCGCTCACTAGCGGATCTCAGACTTCTGGAGGGGATGTAAATTCGTAGTAGTGAGTGGAAGTAGGCGGGTGCTGAGCCTGTGGCTGTTCTATATGCAAGCATCAATGTCTTGAACTTGATTCGGGCCGCAACCGGTAGCCAGTGCAAGGAGATGAAGAGAGGTGTAACATGGGCTCTTTTGGGCTCGTTGAAGACCAGTCGTGCCGCTGCATTCTGAATCATTTGTAGAGGTTTGATTGTGCTTGATGGGAGTCCAGCCAGAAGAGCATTGCAGTAGTCCAGCCTAGAGATGACAAGGGCCTGGACAAGAAGTTGTGCAGCATGCTCCGTTAGAAAGGGCCTGATCTTTCTGATGTTGTGCAATGCAAACCTGCAAGATCGAGCGGTCTTTGCAATGTGGTCTTTGAAGGTCAGCTGGTTATCAAAAGTTACACCAAGATTTCTGACCGAAGTTGATGGGGTAATTGTAGAAGAACCTAGCTGGATGGAAAAATCATACTGTAGAGTTGGAGTGGCAGGGAAGACAAGAAGCTCAGTCTTTGCCAGGTTGAGCTGTAAGTGATATTCTTTCATCCATGCCGAGATGTCTGCCAGGCAGCCTGAGATCCGTGCAGCTACCGTTGGATCATCTGGTTGAAACGAGAGATAGAGCTGTGTGTCATCAGCATAGCAATGGTAGGAGAAGCCATGTGCTTGTATGATGGGACCCAGTGATGTTGTGTATATGGAGAAGAGGAGGGGTCCAAGAACTGATCCCTGAGGAACCCCAGTGACAAGTTGATGTGCTTTGGATACCTCCCCTCCCCAAGACACCCTGAAAGACCTACCAGTGAGATAGGATTGAAACCAGCTAAGTGGAATCCCTGTGATGCCCATTGAAGAGAGGGCAGACAGGAGGATCTGATGATTGACAGTGTCAAAAGCAGCAGAAAGATCCAGCAGAATAAGGACTGATGATTTGGAATCAGCTTTTGCAATCCGCAAGGCTTCTGTGACTGACAGTAGCGCAGTCTCAGTTGAATGGCCACTCCTGAAACCTGACTGTTTAGGATCCAGTTTGTTGTTCTGTGAAAGAAACAATGATATCTGGTTGAAAACAACTCTTTCGAGGGTTTGAATGGAAGGAGAGAGACAGGTCTGTAGCTATCTGTAAGTGAAGTGTTTAATGTAGGTTTTTTGAGCAGTGGGGTTATCCGAGCCTGCTTGAATGCAGTGGGGAAGGTGCCTGTGAGGAGAGATGTATTGATGATGTGTGTGAGTGTTGGTAAAAGTGTAGGAGAGATTGCTTGGAGGAGGTGTGAGGGGATTGGGTCTAGAGGGCATGTTGTAGGATGGCTGGAGAGCAGAAGTTTTGATACTTCTGTCTCAGTGAGGGGACATAATGAGAAGATGGGAGTTTTTGCAGTGGGTGGGGTTGGTTTGAAGTTCCTGTGTGTGTGGGGCTGAGAATTGGCTACTGATTGTTCTGGTTTTGTCTGTGAAGAATGTGGCAAAATCATCAGCTGTTATAGAAGTGGTAGGAGGTGGTGGAGGGGGACAGAGGAGAGAATGGAAAGTTTTGAAGAGATTACGTGTGTCTGCAAGCTTGACTCACGTGACCTGCTAGAACTAACGCTAAAGCTTAATTTTTTTTTTAAGTTAACAAAAAGGTTTTGTTTCTATGATTTTAGCTTTAGTTTTAGTTAGCTGTAATAACCCTGATGCAAAGAAGCTTTTGATTGCTTTTAATGGATGAATCCTGTCTCCTCTGGTCTGTGCAGTATGTTTGAACGATTCGTTCGGCTTCGACTGCAGTCTGTCGTGTGAGGACTGTGCTAATGGAGGAGTGTGTAACAAACACAGAAACGGCTGTGACTGTCCTGACGGATGGACGGGAATCCTGTGTAATGAGAGTGAGTTTCTCTGAAAAAGCCACAACTGAGTACTGATCATAAATATATCAGCAATCACAAACGGAAAACTCAGGCTTGATTACATCAACAGAAAGTAGTTTCACAGGTGGAGAAAGATTTTATTTTTTGATTAAAGATGATTAAAATAGATAAATCATGTACATTAAAATCTGACACATTTAATAAGATCCCATTATAACCCTGTAAAGCCTGACGTATGAAATATTAATCAGAAAAATGTCATTTGAAATGGAACAGTTTATTGAACCTTTTAACAAAATCTGATCATATAGTTTGATACAATGAGAATATGGATCTCATACTATTCAGAGGCCCAAATTGAGGAAATATATATTAAAAAAAGTAATAAAAAGATGAAATGCTGATAACTTGTACTGTAAATCAGTAAGATTGATCTTTATAACCGCATAGCAGATTACTTACATAAAATGATATACAGTAAATATCAGTTGTCACTTTATATCTCCAATAATATTTAATAGTAAGATGACTTAATGAGGTGTAATCTTAGTTAGATGATATTTAACTGCATAGTTTTATGATCAAAGATCTATAGTTTTAAAGGCAATGCAGTATGGAAACTTGTTTCCACCACTAAATAAAAACATAAAAAAAGGTAATAGCCACTTTTTATCGCACAATTCTGACATTTTTTTCCCCAGAATTGCATGATATGAAGTCGCAATTGCATGTTTTTCTCCCAATTGCGACTTTATATCTTATATTCTGATTTTATAACAAATTATTTCATATTATAAAGTCAAAATTATGGGATATAAACTCACAATTCTGAGAAAAAAAGGTCAAAAGTCAGTCTTTTATTCTTCAGCATTCGACTTTCCTCGCAATTATGAGTTCAATTCTGAGAAAAGTCACGCAAACAAATTGTATATTAAATATTATACACCGTTAATTTCTTAAGTTTTAATTGTACTACATGTCTTTAAAAGCTCCTGACCTCTTTCTTGTGTGTGTGTTTTTGTCCAGCGTGTTCAGAGGGCTGGTTCGGCAGGAATTGCTCGTTGAGATGTAAGTGTAAGAACGGCGGCGTGTGTGATCCGCTCACCGGGAGCTGCCGCTGTCCACCAGGGGTCAGTGGAGAGCTGTGTCAGGACGGTCCGTTTACACAACACCTTCACTGTATGGAGAGATATAACAGACAAAATATAAACTTAAATTTATAATATTGATATTGATGCAATCACTTCAGGTTGTCCCAAGGGTCTCTATGGGAAGTTCTGTAATAAGAAGTGTAATTGTGCTAATAACGGACGGTGTCATCGCACTTATGGGGCGTGTCTGTGTGACCCGGGACTGTATGGAAGGTTCTGCCACCTACGTGAGTGCTATACTTTGACATTATAACTACACTGTGCTTTGTGGCGTAGTTAAAAACAGGGTCCATTTGTAACGGTACATTAGATCTCTTATCACTTCCTGTCCCGTGTGTTCATACAGCATGTCCCAAGTGGACGTTTGGACCAGGCTGTTCCGAGGAGTGTCAGTGTGTTCAGCAGAATACCGTAGAGTGTCACCGTCATCAGGGCACCTGCGTCTGCAAGCCTGGTTATCGGGGCGACACCTGCAAAGACGGTCCGTTTGCATAAGAACATCTGAAGTGTCGTTGATGCAAAGTTGCATTGCATTGAAAAATTTGCTCAAATGCAAGGAAAATAATTGTAAAACATACAATCTTATTTAATAAAATAAAATAATTATTATATAATTAAATAAGATTAATAGTTGATGCATAGCATTTTAATCTTTTTTTATTTTAAATTTGCTTTGAAATGCTTTAATGGAATATGAGAAAGGAAAAACATGCAATCTTTAAATTAAATTATTATTATTTTTTATTTTATTTTAAAATTGCAGTCTCAAAACAAAACAAAACAATGAAATGCACAGTTGATACATATTTTAAATGTTTATTTTTTATTTTACATTTGCTTTGAAATGCTTTCATACAGTAGCAATTTAACCTTTTTTATTTTAAATTAGCTTTGAAACACATTAATGAAATACAATGAAAATAACTGTAAAACATGCAATCTAAAAATGAAATAATAATATAAAATAAAAACAAAATAAAGATTTAAAATAAAATATAAATTCAATGAAATTAAATTCGGAGCTCTTGGATTCAATACAATTCAAAAATCACACCTTAAAAAAATGCAAGCAAACAAAAGATCAGGTAAAAACATCACCAAAAAGTAAACATTATTCTATCTATCCAATAATATTTTAAAGCTGTTTAATTACTACCTATAAAATTGTTGACTTTTTTTTTTAAACATGAGAATATTATAAACAGTATTTTATTTATTCATTTATTTACATTTTTTTTATTTAAATTGTTTTTGTTGGATCCAACTGACATCACACCATTGCAATTTTGTACACTTTTGTAATTTTGTAACCAGTATTTCCGACAACTAAGAAATGTGTTGCGGGTCATATTGACCCAGAACATAATATTCGTAGAATAAAAAAAAAAAATCCACATTAAAAATGCAAAAACGATGCATTCGAATTCAAGGTCTGCATCAGCCGTCAGGCAGCTTTATCAGTGGCGCACGAGATGCAATGTATGTGTCATTGATTGCATTTGAATGCTTTTGTTAGCCTATCCAGTTGAAGCCACTAGATGCGCTCTGCTACGTTGTTCATTCAATATATTGCGGAAAACGAGAGCATCAGTGTGGAGAAGATGTTGTTTACGTCAAAACTGAAACCAAGCCACTCACACAGAACGCATATTTATCACATTTTCTAGAGGGACATCTATCAGCGTTGCACTCGCGTCTCGCACAAGAGA